TGCAGGAAGTGAACCTTCTGCAAAGGAACAAATAGGGAAAACGTATCAAGAACATAGCGTTGCTTACGTTCTTTCATAGGGGTGTGTAAGGGCCTGTTTGCTAGCCACTTAATGAGCTTCATTGGACTAGCAGCTTATTCAGTAAGCTATACATGACTGTTTGGTAGTGGCTTAATGATAAAAAAAGTGGCTTATCCAGTAAGCTTTCAGGGGGAGCTTTATGCAGAAAGCCAAGTTTTTTCAAAGCTGTCCCTCCGAATTAAAAAACACGCTCCCAAACAAAAACTTTTCACAATCTATACAGGCAGATTAATTCACATCCCTAAAAAAATTTGATGCGAATCTAGCACAAGAACAAAAAACTGTTTGAGGTACCTTTAGTTTTCAGGCTTGTACTAGAAACTGCAGCAGAAAATTCATCAGCTTTTTCGATCACAGCAGAACATAGTGCTTGAACTTCACCTGCAACAGCAAGTCTGCTTACGATTCCCCTGGCCATTTGGGCTGAGACTCCGCTAAGTGGGCCCACCTCAGTTTCCAATTTAGTCTTTGCCTCTCTAACAAATTCGTGGAGTTCTTGAAACCTTGACGTGCCATCAAAAAGTCTAAAACTCAAATATATCCTGTAGCAGAGGCAATCAACACGCCGTGCATCCTTAGCAATAGTCAATTGCTTCTTCCAGTAACTACAAGAATTAGTTGCCAAGAAGAAGCATGAGCTAAAAAACTACATAAATCTAATAGGAACTGGAAGACCAAAACTAATAAAAGAATAAAATGCATCAAAATGTAACAAAGTTTGGTATAGTTTCTATTTAGAGTAACAAAGACTTCTTTTTCTCAGTCCATGCATAAAAAAGTTTCAAATTTTCCTATTTTGTACCCACTTTGACCGGTAACCCGCTGATTTTGTAACACTTCATGACATGGATACCCGTTTACTAAAGAGTTACGGCGAAATGGACAGCAAACTTGGTATCCACGTCACTAAATGTTACAAGATCAGGAAGCTACCCGTCAAAATGGGTAAAAAAACAAAAACTCTGAAACTTTGTTACATTGATCGAGAAAAAGCTTCGTTGTTACGCTAAATATAAACGAAGACAAATTTCTTTTTAATTTGATGCATATTGCCCAATTAATAAATTTATGTATTTTGAGAACTATAAGCGAAGAGCACTGTGTCGTAATGGAAAAATAAATATCATAAGTAAATGTATGTATATATATGTAAGAAGATGAAAAACTCACCCAAGTATCCCTGAAACTTTACCACAAGATGCACAACAGTAACTCCCGTCTAGCTGCATCAATTGCCCCAGGTTAACAACCCCTACTTTTCCTTGCTGAAGGGCACACTCAATGTGGCAAGATAAGCCACAGGATTCCCAGTTAGGAGAATCTGACGTGCATTCCAACCAAAGACTCGGATCTTTATTATCATCGAACAAGTGGCAAATGCAGCAAGAGCATCTTTTGCAGAAGGTGTCAGCTACCGATAAAACAGCTCTACAAGCAGAATTCTTGCAGATCCATGTATCTGAAAACTTAGTATCAGTACATGATTCAGAAACAGGAGGAATACGCACAGGATTTTCCCCTTTCCTGTTCTGTTTCCTGGAAGGCTGGCACTTGGGACTTGTGGATGCCTTTTTGAGATCCTGATTCTTTAACAGCTTCTTATTCATCCTGATGGATGCTTCAGCCATTTTATGTTTCGACGAAGCTGATTGCTTTTTTCCCTTATCACAGCAAGTGCGAAAGAGATCCTTCCGCAGACCGGACTTCACGAACTCTTGAAGTGGCTCTGCTGTTCTTGAAGCATCATCTGAGTGACCATTTTTCTCTGGAGTGCTCTGAACACTGGAAGATAGACTTTGAACACAAGAACCTGGACATAAATAAAAAGGGTATTCAAGAAAGGATAAGGTGAGAAAATCGAAATTATTTTTGGAGATATAAAGGTATATTCTAATTAGTAAACACATCAAAGAAACTTTGAAAGTCAAAATAATGTGGGGAACAGATAAATGTTCCTTTTAACACAATACGCCATAAATATTTTCTCAAAGCTCCAGATAACAAGCAGGAATTTCATTAAGATCCGAAGTATTAACATGTCAAATGAATCTCAAGCACCCTTATATGTTATTCGCTCCCATAATTAACAATTACCCATCTATTTAATCATCTTTTTAATGACTAATTTACAATTAATATATGCAAAGTATGTAAGGGCATCACAACATCTAACAATAATAGAAAGTAGAATTATACCTAATTCCAGCTAAGAACAAGAAAACCCAGAAAGAGCTGTGGATATTCTCATGAGTTCATGCCTTTTTTCCTTCATTATAATTAAGTTTAAGCCATTTTTCCAGCAACGCATTTGATCATTTCAACTTACACACTTCTTCAGATCTACACAGCTTGCCATATTGCCATATTGTTTTACATCTTACAATTAATTCATAAGAAAATATACAAGTAGAGAGAAGGGTCCAGGTCTGATGAGTGTTGACGATAGACCTCCAACGTGTATGGCATGACTGCCTATCCAAATTTGATTTGTTAAAACACGAAAAATCTTATATGATAGTCCAGACTCTACATGCAGTTAAAAGCGGAAATCCACCGTCCTTGGTTGAAAAGATTAAAATCCATAGCCGAAAATGTATGAGAAAAACGAGTAGAGAAATCAATTTTCCTAACAGATAGGTATACTGATTGAGCAATACAACAGCTCAAGAACATCGTTGACATCAAATGATACATGCAAGTGCAAACACATAGACATGCTCAATTCCAAAGGTTGAATAAAATCTGGTTTAAAAGGAAGCAGAGAGAAGTTTTCTTACACAGGTTCAAAAATCAGTTATGATCACACTAATGGACTAGCACAACTCCTCATGAAGAGAAAAAGATGACTAATCGAGGTACATAAGTGGCAAAAGAGCATCTTGATGGAGGTGTGACATCAATGCTCTTAGGGTTTCGCATCTCAGACCTCAACATGAAATCTTATATGGCCTTTATAACTGCATAATTAATTAGACATATATGAAACATTCTCATATACACTGTTTAGACATATATGAAAGATACTTATATAACTAACCTTGCCAATGAATGAAAGAAATCAAAAAATAGAAAAAGAAAAACCCACTGATTTACATGACAAGAATTATGTATCAGATTTCAGTTAGAAATCGGTTCAATGCGAAATTTTAGTTAATCGTATGATAATCATCGTTGTATAACTTCAGCCATTCAAAAGAAACTACTTAGACATACCCAATACTTGCAAGCTCGATGCATACCAACACACAATTAGGGAGGCTTGGGCTCTAAGCGCAAGATGTAAGGCAGACCAGCCCTGGAAAAAGAAACACCATGTACCGAGTAAAACATGCTAGAAGATTTGGATGCTTTGCACAAATACTAAAAAACAAATTTGAACTCCGATAAACAACACCTGACAAAATATAAGTCAGCAAACCATTCAATTGTGGTCCAGCACTTAAACCATATAACATCTGCACATAACCATACACTAACTGCATATGCTAGTGTGTAATTTAGTGAAACTAACATCTTTTGATACTAAGATCCAAAGTGAACTCTGAAAACACTTTAAATCAAAGGATTCTTGGAGATACACTTTCAAATGAAAAGCTGTAAACTGGTAAAAATAAAACAATAGATGGAATTTGACTTTAGCAATTTAACGAGAGAAGACGGCGTCATTGGTATGACAAGTTGACCACCCATGTGGTGGCACATATTATGTAGGAATAATTGTTGACCTTCATTGTTGGTTCTGATTAAATATAGGTATTTAGATCATCAAGTTTATAGGAATCTTTGAATATGGTATACGGTTGTCAAGATTTTAGTTGTGTTCAAACAGATTGAAGTTAAAGGTATGTATATGTGGTGAAAATCAGTAATGTAACTTTTCATGATACACATTTACTAAACAAAGTACAAGTAGAAATGCAGAAATTATTATAACCTAGAAGATCCAACTATCTGTGGTATATAATTTTGGTACAAAAAATAGTGTAGTGAATAAATATAAGGAAAACATACGAGTCTCAATCAGATTAACAAATACATACAAAACAGACCAGTAAGTGCACCCACATATGAGTGAATGCCTAATGTCTAATGCAGGAGGCAAAGGAAGATGAAGAGAAAAGTTAGATGCTATATATACATAAATGATCAAAGAGAATGGGACTATTGTACCATTCAAACATAGAACTGTGTTAAAGAAGATGAAGAATTAACCATTGTGGAGGATAATGAATTTTCAAGGCTAATTTAGGTCAATAAATGCAACATTCCATCACTAATAAGCAATAACCAGTACCAATCCAACTGCAACCTTAAAAGATGGCTAAGAAAAATGAATAGCATACTCCATGTTTCTCTCTAACCAACCTTCCTATCCCGACTATATTTGGAGTCTTAAGCATGTAATTATGTAAAAGGTATACCAAGTAGCTGATGAAATCTATATCATCCTCACCTTCCTTTCTACAACTTCCTCCACACAACAGAAAGGCTCTCTAGCTCAACATCTGCAAGAGCAGGTCAACCATTTCATACATCATTGTTTTGCATGGATATCCATAAAAACTGTCAACAAAACCAAGTTGACCATTTAGTTGCCACGTTCAGACCTACATTCCTTATCTAGATTATAGTTAAGAGATACATTATTTCACACGTGCTGATAAAAGAAGAAACCAAGAACAATATTGGCCCAATAAAGCAATTTTCTCATAAAAGTTATTTCTATTTTCCAAATTCGATTATTATCACTGCAACATCACTATGTCAAAAATGATCATCATGACACTTGAGCCCAAAATGTGTATATGATGTGCAAACAATCCTCAAAAGACACCATATAGCTCCTATACAGGACACAGTATGAAAATGCACTTACTACTGAAAATGCAGTCAAATATTTACTAGATATGGTTCAAATGGTCATACAAACGAAAAGAAAATTGACATCTACAAGCTTTACCCACTGAGGGCCTAACGCTTGCCCATTCTCCACCTTTTTTAATGAACAAACAATTTCAGTCATCCATTAGAAGAAAAGAAATGTCAACGTATAATTGATCAATATGAAATCTAAGAGAAAGATTTGCCTGCCAAGATCAAGGGAGCTTTAGGTTTGCATAAGTGTAAAGTCTAGATCTAATGGCCAAACAATTAGGATCATAGTTCCAAGAATGGTTCTGCATGCATATAGTGGTGTTAGTCATTATGATAAAAAGTCGCAAGATTAGGGTTTAGTTGCCTTCAATCCTGCTCATGGCACCAGTGAAGTCCAGAATTTGGAAATGGCCTCATAAGCAAGACTCAAGAGATATGTTATGGTAAGCCTACTCTATCGTGGCAGGATTTGTGGCACCCTCGTGGTCCTTCAAAAGATATGGTAGATTCTATGTTCACCGCAGTGACATTCCTAGTTATGCATTTATGGTGGAATCTATTAACCATAATGGTGGTTGGTGTTGGCCTCCTGGTGACACGTACTACAACTTGGACATGCAGTCAACAATCTGTTAATTCTCTGATTCCTTATGATGACTATGGCGACCAGGTGTTTCTGAGGCAGTTATTGCTGATGCAAAATCCTCTATTAGTTGCTGAAAACATCAAGAAGTCAAGGTGGTCATGTATGAAAATGTCCCCTTGGCATGCTTCCTAAATTTTTTCTAGTTGTTGACTTCATTGCAAGTATGATATTATTATTGAGAACTATTTATTGGAAGGGGGTTGATCAACTGCTGTATTCGGATTTAATGCCTCTTTTTCAGTCATTCTGAAGTTTGGACCAAGTTGGTCAGGTGAGGACTGGGACTGGAAGTTTGCCTTTTCTATTCAAAACTTTGAAGGCAATACTTTTATACATTTAGTCAGCAGTTTATTTTAACGTAAGTCATTTGTTCTGTTTTGCAAGGGTGGAACGTGCAGATTTTCAATCCCTCTGTTTGTACTCTGATGACTATTATGAAGAATAACAATGTATCTTGAAAGACCTTTCCAAGGACTTTCTGCAACTGGTACTATGTAAGAGCTGGTGTATTAGTGCCCAAATTTTGTTAGTTTATCCGTTTATATTTGAAGTTTCTCTGATAGATGCCTCGCTGTAGATTGTATTACAGCTGTTATACATAGTCTAGTATGTCACTACCAGCATCATCTCCCCTTCAAAATATTGACAATAAGCTGAGCGTTGTAAATGACAAACAGGTTTCCAGAATAAGATGCCCAAAAGAAATTGGTGACGTCAAGTTCTCACCTTTAGCAACAAATTTATCATCCATCTCCATAATGTTCAAGCAACCCTCCCTGTGATAAAATAGCACTGAAAAATCAGCATTTTCTAGACTACAACCTAATCAAATTAGTGTGCATATAGAAGGAAGAATCACAATCCAACATTTTCAATGGATGAAGAAAATTAACCCAACTCAACGAGTGTCAACATCTATGAAAGTGAACATTTTTTTGTCATTTTCATGTAGAAGGCTACCATCAGCCTTAGCATACACCAAGGCAAGCGTAATCAAGTGTTTTGCATAAACTAACTAGAACTACAGTTAAATTAAGAAGATAAAATTTGCTACTAATGTGGGGCAACCAATAGGCATGTATTGACTAGCACACCAATTATTTTAAAATACATAACCATTATGAGATGCCGTCCTCCGTACTCTTAATGTGGGGGGTGGGGGGTTTAAAGCACAAGGTAACCCTTGTCAATTCACATAATATTTTTAGTTAGCACTCCATGGTTACTAGGCGTTTTCTTTCTATACAAATTGAACAGCTTAGTCAGTTCCCACAACCATGTCAGTTACATTATTGCCATCCAATTTACTAACAATGGTGGTTGAGAACTTGAGATGATTAACATCATGCCGATCATATTCTTTTTCCTTCATCCTCCATCCCAAATTTTTCTAAGTATGCAACAGCGCAAAAACACAAAAGTTAGAAGATCACTTTATCTATTTTACCATTTCTCACAACAAAGCTCATTGTGTTATACTAATGACATAAAAAAGCAGAACCTTTTCACATATACATGTAACATGCTCTTCTTAAAAACCCACCTCCAAAAAATCAAATAAAGTACATTTAGCTTAATTATCACTTATTCTCGCGCTATTTATCATACATTGTTGATTCCAGATGAAAACAATGAACAAACTTTGCTGAAACACAAACAAACTCATTGCATCGGAGTAGCCAACATTCTCGTCTGAAATTCCGGGAACAAAACGTATAATTACATAAAGAAATGTCCAAAAATCAAAACTTGAAACATAAAAATGTACAATATTACAAAATAACGTAAATAAACGAACGATAATACATCACAATTTCAAAAAACCAGCGGATCTGAACACATGAACACATAAAACAATCTACAAACCACAAGCTTCGAAGAAACACAATTATACATATATATACATCAACACGTATGTATATACTACAAAAACAAGAATGAATCAAGAGGAGATACCTGCGAAGAATGCTCGAGGAGAGAGAGAGATGAGAGAGAAGGTTAGGGTTTTTGTTTATGGAGATTGAGAGGTTTTTCAAAGAAAAACGAAAAATAGAAAATAAATCTCTACGACTTTTTGTGAGGATTTTGTTGAATGCTTTAATGGGGGAAGCTCGGAAGTCTTGGTAGCTACGGTGAGGTTCACGAGCGTGTAGAGCGCGTGGCGGAGTGGATTTCAGTTAGAAATGGAAGCAGTTGTTACTTGTTGCGGAACCGTAAAACGTACACCTAATGCTTCACTCACTGGTCACTGAGCCTGTTGCGTACTCGCTATGCAAACGCGTTGGTTATATTTATATTTTAAGTCCTTGCACTTTTGATGATTAATAAATTCAGCCACTCAATGTTTACAAAGAAGACTTTGAACAAGTAATTTCATTATAAAATGACTACGGTCTTTTTTTATTTTTTTTTATTAACCTGGATATTCAATTCGTTATGCGAGCCGACTAACCTCAAGACGATCACCTGTTTTGCAGATAGCCCGGAGTCATCGCATTTAAACCTCCGTGCCCACAAAGGAATTTTTATTCCTCCTTGGATTTGAACCTAGGACCTCCTGGTACTTTTGACCTTTGAAGCTAAGCTCAAACCAATTATGCATCACCCCTGTGATTGACTATGGGTCTTTTGTCTCTAGTTTAATGAGTTTAATGGAAATCGCGGGTTATTTTGCTAGTTATATATGATTGTTTGGTAATGACTTAATGCTACAGAAAGTGATTTATTTACTAAGCTTCTAAGAGAGGGCTTTATACAGAAAGTCTAGTTTTTTTCAAACTCACATCTCCCCATAAAAAACATGTTTTTTCTATCTATGAAAAAATTCTCTCAAACAAAAATATTTTCATTCTATACAAACAAATTAATCCGCATAGACAATTTTATCCATCAATGATTTAATATAAAATTAACCAAACAACCTCTAATAAGGGGGTGTTTGGGATTGCTTATTTGAAACAACTTATGCTTTTCTACAAAGGCACTTATCAACTTATTATAAGTCAGAAAGGTTTAACTTCTTCAAAAACTTCTTATTACCGGTTTGACACCGGTATAAGTTGTTTATCCAAACACTCAAAAATGCTTTATTACCGGTGTCATACCGTAATAAGTCAATAAGTTGTTTTTATAAGCAATCCCAAACACCTCCTAAATACAAATAAAACTAAAATATGATAGAGTGAACGATTTTGATGTTTCAAGTCCTCACACGTCTAATAATTAACAAACCCAACCCCTCGATGTTTGAAAAAGGACTTTGAACAAGTCATTTCATTGTAAAGTAATTAATAAATACAGTTATAAAAACAAAAGTAAAAATGATAGAGTGAACGATCATGAATCTTGAACAGAACTAGCATTAAGACCACATTTCAAATAAGACCAATCCTTTGAATACAAAATAATCGGAGTAACGTTGGAGCAAACTTTCATAGCCTTGGCTTCTTCAGCTCCAGTTCTCCCTGCAAGTTTGGCATGCAAAGTTTTCCTGTCTAATTACCAACAGCTAATGTATCTGAGCGATTAGACCAGACCGGCCCAGAGAGGAACATGCCCACGAGAGCACCACCAGATGTTGTACACGAACCTACTAAAGACGAATTTGAGTATATCATAGTTGACCACTCCATGGGGTAGCCCCTACACCCACTGCACGAGTGGAATATTACTTAGTCAAGTAGAAAGGAACAAGGTCTTACAGCACATGAAAGTCTTCTTCAAAACCTAGCATTAAGGGCGTTACGACCATCTCTCAAAATATGTGGGTAAAATTGATCATAAAAGGATGCAAATCAAAACTTGGAGCTTCAGCAATGGTGGCAGCAGTTTATTTAGGCCGATTTACTCGGATAAAATTCTTAAGAGATGTTCATATTAGCTTCTTGTGATGTTAGAAATTAACCCCACAAAGCTATCGAACCTAAACCGGGCAAATTGGAACTTTTTTCCATTATTTTAACAACCACAAGCTGGGTGGAAATTATGGGGTTACGGTATCTGGAACAACCGTGAGTAGAACTGTAGAAGAACATACAAATAGCGAGGCGATCGTAAAGGCATTGGCCAAGATGGTTGTGAGGGAGCCCAGGGAAGGGAAGTAACACTTGTCATGATTTTAGTGGATGTATTCTTAAAAAAACTAGTTTAATGGAAAATCAGTGAAATATATTACGACCAAGATGTCTATGAGTTAACTGGGTTTTTTAACATTGTTAAGGCGAGGGGCTTGTTTGGCAATCAAATGCATACCACGAGGTTGTTTTCTATGATTAAGTCATTTTAAGGATTCAAAATGTCAAAACTTAAATATGTAACTCACCCCAAATAAAATACTGCTTTTTTACAACTATAATAAAAATAGAACGCCTTAAAAGATTAAGGGGCTGTTTGTTTTTAATAAAAAAGCTCTTAATGTCCTCTTAAGTCTGAATCGGTCAGACATAAGAGGATTCAATGTGTTTGTTTTTTTTTTCAATTAAGAGCTTAAAAGCTCTTATTAGGTCTGAAAATTTAAGTGGTTGTGAAACCTCTTATTACCTCTTATTTCAAATCGTCGCCTACCTACTCTGATCTCTTTGCGCTCGATTTCTCTAGATCAACTATTCTGTCTCAATCTCTCATCTCTCAACTTTGTCAACTGTCGATCCATATCAACTCTCGATCTCTCATCTTCAAACTTCATATTTCAGACGCAAAAAACAAACGGTCTGACTGATTCAGATTTCAGACTTCAGCACAACCTCTTAAAAATCAAAAGTGAATTCAGACTTCAGATTTCAGACTTCAATACCTCTTAAAAAACAAACGTCACCTAATTCTTTTCGTGTGAGTGTCCATAAATTAGGCGTGATCTAAATGCACGCATATATATTGCTAAATGCATATCTGATTTTCTCCTCACATACATCAACATCAAAATCAATACTCACTTTGTACACTTTAAATGCATTGTTCGACCTAATTTTGATTGTAAATGAGGTACATGTTACAATCCTCATAAACTATGAGTTAAATACACTAGTAGTCCCTGTAGTATACTCATATTTTGGATTTGGTCCCTATAATATACTATCTATACTGATGGTCCCTATTAATTTCATACCACTCAAGGTCCCTGGAGTTAACACTATCAGTTAGCAACCGTTAGGAGGGACAAATCAGTCTTTGGGCAAACTATAGGGCCAAAAGTGATCTCAATACAAATGCAAAGTGAAGTTTGGACAAATCTAGACGTTGGCAAGGCTTTTCCAGAACGTATACAATAACAAAATTTTGACAGTTAAATATACCTTCAGGATTCAAAAATATACCTTTTCTTCAGAAAAATGGGTTACATACGTCCAAAAGGGCATTATTACAGATGTTTGCACTGCTTTGGATTTTTAATTACTCTGTATGAATTAAAAAGGTTTTGTCCTCCATTTCAACATATAACATTATAGCGTTCAAAATATTATTCTATATGGCTTTTGAACCTCCTTCGAACATCCAAATCTCGCACACGCCATTAAAACAATCATCTGATGTTTTTGTTATCTGTTATCCAATTGTTGTGAGTGTTCATTACAGTGAGATTGCTTCATCTATGTATCTTGCTAGATCAAAGACAAGAACAATATTCAACTTGTGTCATTTTTTTTTATTAACATAGATATCCAAACCTGCTATGCGAGCCGACTAATCTTAGGACGACCATTTGTTTAGCAGGTAGCCCGAAGTCACCGCATTTGAACACCA